TCAATCTGGCTTGCCAGTTTCAGGCAGGCCTAATACTGGGATAAATCGCTCCCCGAGCGTTCGATATTTCTCTTGCAGCGTGCCGTAGCGCTTTGAAGCCGCCGCAGCGCCCGATCTATCCTCCAGCCCCGCCGGTTTTCAGAGATTCCCGATGTTGCCCCAGCAGTGCTTGCGCTTAGGGCTTCTTACTTGTCTCCTGAAGAACTGGGCTTGTCTCCTGAAGAGCTGGGCCTGGTTGCCTGGTCCGCCGCCTTTTGTGGCCCCGTCGCCGGCCGTCGCCGCCCCTCGTCTGGGCCCGGCTTGGATGCCTGTTCCGCCGCCTTGTGGTGGCCCCGTCGCCGCCCTCCGTCGCCGCTGTAGCTGGGGTTGCATGGCGTTACACTGCTCTGCATTTCTGTGTGCTGGTTTGCTTCGCGTTGCATCGCCTTGTATCGCTTTGCATTGCTTTGCACCGCATAGAGTGCACCACATGGGTTACACAGCACAGATTGCAACACATGGATTGCATCGCATAGGTTGCACCACATTGATTGCACCACCTAGAATGCATCGTATAGATTGTAGTACGCCACTGCTTGGGGTCCACGCTGGCTGACAAACTCCTCCTCCGCACTCGCGTCATCCTGGCTTCGTGCTTATTGCGCCCACGGCACGACGACCTCCCAGGAGATGCCACCTAGCTTGGAGGCGGGCTGCATCCAGGTCGCCCGCAGTGGCGCGAACGACACTTGCGCTTCGAGCGTCGCCGCCTCGGCAGGAGCGGCCGCCCTGCTCAGAAGGCGGCGGCGCGAGGGCGCGGGGGGGTTGCGAAGAGGACGGCGCGCCGTGCCTCGCGGGGCCCGCTGCGCGACGTGAGGTCACCTGGGAGGCTTCTGCAAGGCCCCCCCCCCAAGGGCCCCCCAAGAAGTGCCAACGGACAGCCTCGGACGCGAGCGGGGGCGGTGCCACCTCCAGCGAGGAGGAGGAGGAACAGCAGCAGCAGTAGCAACAGCAACAGCAACAGCAATAGCTGCAACAACACCACCACCAACAACAACAGCAACTTGGCATCGGGGCAGTGGTCTACGGGATAATGTACAGTACACTCTACCCGTCGCTGGCCCATTCGGTTCATTCGAAGGAGGAGGAGGAGACAGGAGGATGAGGAGGAGGAGTGGGGTTGGGGGATCCCAGGCCTCCAGCATGTTGGAAGGGACAGATCAGATGTCTTTGCTCGTTTGTTTTGGCCTCCGAGGGCAGTTTCTGGGGCCTCGAGCTCTCGAATCAAGGCCTTGGATGAGGAACGCGAGCCACCAGGTGGAGGGCTGTATCACGACGCTGGAGGTCAAGATGAGGCGTTCGATCACTTGCAAAACGCACCCATCCTGCATTCGCACAGGAGACCGTCAGAAAGCGCCGAAGACCGCCGAAGGCCGACGGGTACGGGGTCCGCGGTCGACCACGAGGCGAAGAGGATCCAGGCGGCACAGCCAGGGTCCGAGCAGCGGATTGCAAAAAAACGAAGGATTGCAAAAAAACGAAGGATTGCAAAAAGGATTGCAAAAAAAACCCTCAATCCTTCAAAAAGGGTTTTTTGCAATCCTTCGTTCAAAGGGTTTTTTTTTGCAATCCGGGTTTTTTTTGCAATCCTTCGGATCGGTGGACCACGCCGCGTCGCCGCGGCGGCGCGGCGCCGTCCAGAGCCCGATATTCTCTGTGCCGACGTCGACGACGCATCGGCGACGCGCCGGCGCTGCGGCGCGATCTTCCGACCCTACCCGCTTGGACCCCACCGCGGGGACCTCCAGGGGAGCAGCGGTCGGTCGCAAGCCCGGCGCGAGGAAGGGCGTCAAAATCCGTCGTTGTCGCCACGAGAGCGAGGGAGGCCAAAGTGGGCGCGTCGGCACGCCCCCGCCCCGCCCACGGGATAGAGAAACGGTGCCTCTTTAGATCTTGGCAGGTTTACTTGCATTGAAGGAGGTCCTCCTCCTCCTCCTCCTCCTCCCCCTCCCCCTCCTCCTCCTCCTCCTCCTCCTCCTCCTCCTCCTCCTCCTCCTCCTCCTCCTCCTCCTCCTCCTCTCTCCTCCTCTCTCCTCCTCCTCCTCCTCCTCCTCCTCCTCCTCCTCCTCCTCCTCCTCCTCCTCCCTCCTCCTCCTGGGGGGGGGGGCGGGGGGGCGAGGTCCGAGGGGAAAGCCGACCTTCGCACAGGTCGGCTCTCGCTCTCCCTTCGGGCCTGGCGCAGGCCCGCGAGAGGAGGACGAGGGAGGACGTGGCGAGGAGGAGGAGGAGGAGGAGGAGGAGGAGGCCCGAGGAGGAGGAGGAGGAGGAGGAGGAGGAGGAGGAGGAGGAGGCCCGAGAGGGTCTGCCCTTCGCGCAGGTCGGGGCTCGCTTGCACGCCTTTTTGTCGGCCCAGCGCAGACCCGCGAGGTGAGGGGGGGAGAGAGGAGGCTGGTTTTGAGTGTGGCCTGCTCCTCTACAGGGGGAATCTCCAAAAATAGTTAGGGTTTTTTTTGTTGGAGTATGTTTTACCATTTCGGAGTATTTTTTGAGTAGTTTTTATTTTTCGTCGAAAATCCCCCTGTAGGGGGACACGCCCGACTTAAGGCTGGTTCTGGAGGCCTTCGGAGGCTCCAGCCTCAGGGCCCCGGAGAAGAGGACAGAGTCTAACCAGGGTCGATGGCAATGTTTCATCCACATCCACTGCCCTGGGTTTGCTGGGAAGGAGCGCCAAAAGGCCGAGGCGCAGTGCACATGGGTGAACATCTAGCCTCCAGGGGCTATGTTTTTATCCATGCCCACCGCCTCTGAGTTCCGGGGGAGGGATCCCGCAAGAAGCCGCTGTGAATATGGATATTCATCTTGCCCGCAAGGACATTGGCAAGTGGGTGACCGTAAAGAAGTCAGATTTGGCCGTCCAGTATTTTTGTTCGGGGTTGCACTGCAGGATTCGGCTCTTTGTTCGGGTCTTTGGGGGGTGCAGGCTTGCAGGGCCTGTGCCTGGGCGCATTCCAAGACTGTTGCAGTGCTGTTAGTTCACGTGCTGCCGTCTGGAAAAACAATGGTTTCAGGGTATGTTGAATGTCCTTGTCTACAGGCAACCCGCATGGTAAGGATGGGCACCCTTCCCGAGGGTGCCCTTGCATCCTTGCCTGCTCGGTCCATCCTCGGCCACTTTTGTTGGCCGCGCCCCGGTGGAAAGGCTTCGAAATGGCGCTCCAAGGCCCTTGCATCCTTGTCGTGCGTCTTTATTCTATGGGTTGACTGTAGATACTCTGGGCCTCTGGGGCCCTGACAGCCAGGGCGCTCAGCGCGAAGGCGGCTCCAAGCGGAGTACACAATCACGGAGGGTCTGATCGCGCGAGCGACCGTGCTGCCGCCCGAGCAGGTCGGGATCTGGGGGCCCAAGCCGCACCACGACCACGGCGCGGAGCACTTCTTGTGGGGCGGGGGCAGCCGCTTACTTCGGAAGCAAATCACGTGAGCCTCGTGTATCCTCGCAATTCCGTCTTGAGAGCGCGCCAGCGTCGATCTAGCGTCTGGTGATCAATGCGATAGCGCCGGACCAGCGTCGATAAGCGTCGAATGGCGTCAATCAGCGCCGACTCACACTAGCCAGCAAGATGGTATGGGAGGCTCCCATAACTTGCCGCAGAAGTCTACCGTCCGACTCGTGGTGATTCGATTACCAGAAGACCCCCTTGCGTCGTGACAGCAGCGTACCCGAATGTTTGGGGCAATGCTTGACTTCCAGGGGCCCCCACCGGGCCTCGAGGCCGTCAAAGAACAGCTCAGGATGAAAAGCCAGGCCCCAGGGAGGGGTCCAGTCCACGTCATGAAAAAATCACGGCGTTTGTTGCTTGGGTTCACGGGCTGGGCCCGTGCTTCCGCTCCGATGTGCTTCGGCTCGATTCGCCGGCATCGGCCAGTGCCCAGCTGGAGCCGGATGCGGCGATCCGATTTCCGAGTCGGCTCGAGACGATCCGATTTGCTGGCGATCCGATCCACCGAGCAGATCCGCTTTTGCGAGTCGATCCAGCTCGGGCTTGGCGAGGGCGCGGCGGCTCTCTCTCTCTTTCGCCGTCGTCGCCATCGATGCGTCGCGGAGTAAGCTCCCAGATTCGGCGGCCACGTGCGAACCCTGCCCCACCACCCCACGATTTCGAAGGGGGGAGGTGGCGTTCACGTCGCTCGGGAGGTCCCGAACGAAGTGAACCCAACCTTCGCTTTAGAAATCGTGGGGTGGTGAGGTAGAGTTCGCATGTGGCCTCGTACAGACGTTTGGCGGTCTGATATTCTTAGCGCGCCGCCCCAGAGGCCTCGCCCCCGCTCTCGAGGCCAGTCCCCCCCCTCCGATCTTTATTTTCGCGGGAAGGAGAAGGGATACCACCACCACCACCACTGCCATGAAGTCGGGCATGTCCCGCTACAGGAGGAATATTCAAAGATACTCAACGCCTATCTTTCGACGATTGCGTGACAACACATGGTACCTAACGCCCCAGGGCGGGACAAGCGCGAAAACACATAGGTTCCTAACGCCCCAGGGCGGGAGAAGCGCTGAAACACATGGGTTCCTAACGCCCCAGCGCGGGACAAGGCTGATGTCTGACGTGAGGATTTGTTGACGAGGGAACGCGGCCCTGGCAGCGCGGACGCCGTGGGATTTACGATGGATCGTTGTCTTGGGAGCGCGGACGCAGCGTAGTTTACGAGCGATCGCAGCCCAGGGAGAGCGGACGCATCGTACTTTACGAGAGATCGTGGCCTCGGGAGCGCGGTCCCTTCGTAATGCGGGTGAAGAAAGGGAGACGGGGGAAGAGGATGAGTATGAGTGCAGGCGGATGAGACCGTTAAGGATGCGAAGCAATATCATGAGGATCAAAGGGCAATTTCGCGAATGGAGTGGGAGGAGGAATAGAAGTGGCAGCAGGACGGCTCGTACACCGACTCGTACGTTTATGGTACACTTGGAGTGGCTTCGTGCCCGGATAGGTACGACCCCATCTCTGGTGTAGGTCATTGCCAACTTGCATCCAGCTTCGTGGGCGACCCATACGAGACAAGTGTTGGAAGGGACGAGTACGAGGGAGAGCGTTTTTTTTTTTGCAACGGTCGTGACTGCACAAGTGAAAAGGCTGCTCTAAAACGAGAGTTAATTTGGGGGTTGGCTCTGCGGCAAAAGTGTTGTCCGCGCTTCGCGCGGCAACGACGCCCAGCATCCATCTGACCTCCATTTCGTCTGACCTCCAAGGTCTTCTGCTGTGGTGTAGTTGGGTTAATGGTCTCCCCAACCCTCTTCTGGGAAGTAGGCTTCAGAGCGGGACAAGCGTGAACGCATGTGGCCTCGTAATGAAAGCTCCAGGGCGGGACAAGCGTGTAGTCATTTGAGTTCCTAACGCCCCAGAGCGGGACACACGTGAAAACACATGGGTTTCGAACGCCCCAGAGCAGGAGAAGCGTAACAACGCGTGGGTTCCTAAAGCCCCAGAGCGGGACGGCGTATGCCCCTCCCCCCTCGTCGCGTCCCCTGGCGTTTTCCTTGCCCGTTCCGTGGCGCGTCCCTTGCCACGTGCCCTGACACGTCCCCTGGCGCATCCCCTAGTGTGCCCCTGGCACATTCCGTGGCGAGTCCATGCGCCCTGCGCCCCGTGTCGTCTCGTCCCGCTCCAGAACTGAGTCGGTTTTTGAGCTCGAGCTGATTGGGCGTCCCACATGTTTCGATTGCAACCAGTTCAGGGCCAGCTATTATTTCAAGCAGCTCCAGCGTAAGATCCATATCAGTTCGGTTTGGATTCGGATGCCAAGGGCAACTTTATCCACAACACTATAGAGCACAACGCCCTTCATCGCGGCGTGACACACTTCGTTTCAGCCCAGCACAGCACAGCCCTCGGCACGGTACATCACGAGCGATGTTTTCAGCATTGCCTTTGCTTGTCTCCGAATCAGGTGCCTTGTAGCCATGCTTCGCGTTTCCAAATTCCTTTCTGGGTTCGTGGGTCGACCCACGAACCCGGAAAGGCATCTAGAAACGTAAGGCATGGCAACCTTTCAAGTATGTTTGATTGGGCGGCGGACAAACGCAATGTTGAGTGCATCGATCTTGGTGTACCGTGCCGAGGGCTGTGCTATGTTGCGCCGTGCTGACTTGCGATGTGTCATGCCGCGATTGTGCTCTATAGCGCTGTGGATCGAGTCCTCCTTTGCATATCCGAGTCCTGACCGAACTGATCTGGATCTTAAGCTCGAGCTTCCTGAGCGCATAGTAGCTGCCCCAGAGTTGATTGACAGGGGGACCTGCTAGGAGGACGCGCCGTGAAACGTCCCGAGGGACGCGCCAGGCGACATGCCAGGGGACGTGCCATGGGGACGCACCGCGGGACGTGCCAAGGGGACGCGCTACGGATCGTACCAATGGACGTGCCAGGGGACGCGCCGCGCGACGTGCCAGGGGGACTCGCCACTGGACGCGCCACGGAACGTGCCAAGTAACGTGCCAGGTTGCAATGGTGAGTGTATCGATCTTGATGGACCGTGCGGAGGGCTGTGTTGTGCTGCGCCGTGCTGAACTGCGATGTGCCATGCCGCGATTGTGCTCCATAGTGCTGTGGATCGATTCCTCCTTTGCACCCGAATCCTGACTGAACTGCTCCAGATTTTAAGCTCGAGCTGCCTGAGAACATAGTAGCTGGCCCAGAGCCGTTTGACAGCGGCACATGCCAGGAGCACGCGCCGCGGAATTGGACACGTGAAAACAAGTGGTTCCTTCGAGACATCCTCATCTTCATGTTAGACGGCCGTTTCAGGCCCCCAGGAAGGACCCAGGGGGCCCATGTTAGATACCCTCTAGGTGGCCAGGACACGAGAAAGCACCTGGCTCCTCCATGTTAAACACCGCACTGGGCGGCCTGGACACGTAAAAACAAGTGGTTCCAATTTGGGATAATCATGTTAGATGCCCCCTGGGTGGCCTGGACACGTAAAAGCGTGGGTGCCAGCTCGGGACAACCATGTTAGATACGTTTTTGGGTGGCCTGGACACGTTCAAACCCTGGGTCTTTTCTCGGGACAGTCATGTTAGATACACCCTTTGGATGGCCTGGACACGTAAAAACACGTGGTGCCAGCTCGGGACAAGACTGTTAGATACCCCCCACGGGTGGCCTGGACACGTAAAAACACGTGGCTCCAGCTCGGACGCTGTATTGGATGGGTGTAAATGCCAAGTTGGGTGTGTGGGACGCATGCGGGCGGTCCCACTGAAGGCTTCGGTGAAGGTCCCTATGGGGCCACGAAGCGCTGCACCGGGTGGGGGGGGGGGAACGCATGCAGGCGGTAGCGTTGGGGTCGTCGGTGGGGCTCCCTATTGCGCCGATCCGAAAGTTTCCCCAATTTCGCCACCGTGCTCGCCGCGGCCATGTGGGGTGGCGCGCGCAGGACAAGACTCGCGGGGCCCGAGGGCGGATTGGGGCGATGTCGCGAGGGCAGAATCGGCGCGCCGATGGGCAGCCCAGCGCCCCGTTTGGCGGGAGTGGGCCGGTACACTGCAAGGGCAGAGCCAAACCCCCGCCCCGGGTCGCGGGATCGGGTTCCCCTTCCCAGTGTAAATTTTAAATTCCAAACGGTGTACTGACCCGAAAATGAGCAAACGGCATCGGACCTCCTCGAAAAAAACTTTCCGTTTCGGTCATACGACGACCCGAACAGTTTACCGGCCGACCTGAAAGTGGCCAAATCCCATCGGACTGGTGCCAACAAAATTCCGGGCCTGCATCGAACGACCCGAGAATGTGCAAACCGCATTGGACTCCTGGCAAAAAAACATAGTTCTCGAGGTCTTCGGGCCCGTTCCGAAGAAACCGAACATGGTCAAACCGCTTAGAACTTCTTATAAAAAACTGTTTCTCGGTGGTTCCGGGCGTCGTCCGAAGGAGCCACCGATGGGCTGACCGTTCAGGACTTCCCGCGCCAGACATTGTCAACGGGAGGGCGCCCCGCGCGGGATCGGGGTTCGCACGGGGGCGCGGTTGTTTTCGCCTGTCCAGGGGGCATTCATTGCCGCGCCCTTCCAGCATAGCGTTTGCGCTGCATTCGCGCGGCGCCGTGCCTCTCAAATCGGAATAAACTGTCGGAGCGCCGATGTATGGGGCCACGAAGCGCCGTGCTGGGTGCGTGAAAATGCCAAAATGAGTTTCCGGAGCGCACGTGGGCGGTGCCATTGGGGGTTTCGGTGGAATTCCCTATGGGGCCGCTAAACGCTGCAGTGGGTGAGTGAAAATACCAAAATTGGGCTTCGGGAGCGCATGCGGGCGGTCCCATTGGGGGGTTCGTTGGAGCTCCTTATGGGACCACGAAGCGCTGTAATGGGTGAGTGAAAATGCCAAATTGACGTTTCCTGGACGCACGCGGTCGGTCCCAGTCGGGGGTTCGCCTATGGGGGGAGCACGAAACGCTGTATTCGGTGCGTGAAAATGCCAAATTGGGTTTCCGAGGGCGCATGCGGGCGGTCCTACTGGAGGTTTCGGTGGTGCCCCCTACGGGGCCACAAAAAGCTATACTGGGTGGGCGAAAGTGCCTAATGGGTGGGTGGAACTGCCGACTTGGATGTTCCAGGGCGCGCGCGGGCGGTCCCATTGTGGGTTTCGGTGGAGCTCTCTATGGAACCACGAATCGTTGTACTAGGTGGATGCCAAATTGGGGTTGCGAAGCGCTGTATTGGGTGCGTGAAAATGCCGAATTGGGTTTCCGAGGGCGCATGCGGGCAGTCCTATTGGAGGTTTCGGTGGTGCTCCCTGCGAGGCCACCAACAACTATACTGGGTGGGCGAAAATGCAAAAAAGGGTGGGTGAAAATGCCAAATTGGATGTTCCAGGGCGCGCGGGCGGTCCCATTGTGGGTTTCGGTGGAGCTCCCTATAGAGCAACGAAACATTGTAGTAGGTGGATGCCAAATTGCGGTTGCGAAGCGCTGTAGTGGGTGGGTGTAAATACCAACTTGGGTTTCCGGGGCGCATGCGGGCGGTCCCACTCGGGGTTTCGGTGGAGCTCCCTTTGGTGCCACGAAGCGATGTATTGGGTGGGTGAAACGCACGGAGGAGGGGGAGGGGTGAGGGAGAGGAGGGAGGAGGGAGGACGGAACGCGGGGACCATCCTTTCAAAACGAGGACCCAACACCACAAAATGGTTGGGAAAAACACATGGCTCCAATTCGGGACAATCCTGTTCGATACCCCATTAGCTGCCATGTGAGATACGCCCTTCGGTGGCCAAGGCACGTTCAAACACATAGTGCCACTTCGGGACAACAACAGTGCTCCTCCCCCCGCTCATCCCTCTCTCCTCCCCGTGCTCCTCCTGCTCCTCCCCGTGCTCTTCCCGCTCCTCGCGTGCTCCTCCTCCTCCTCCCCTCCTCCTCCCCTGCTCCTCCTCCTCCTCCTCCTCCTCCTCCTCCTCCTCCTCCTCCTCCTCCTCCTCCTCCCCCTGACCGGTGCGAGCCCTGGCGTAGCGAGCAGCGGAGCGACCTCCGGCGAAACGAGCCCCGGCGAAACGAGCCCCAGCGAAACGAGTCGGGCGAAACGAATCCCCCGGCGAACCGAGTCCCGGCGAACCGAGTCGCGCGAACCGACTCGGGCGAACCATGCCTCGGCAAAGCGAGCCCCGGTGAACCAAGCCCCGGCGAACCAAGCCCCGGCGAACCACGCCCTGGCGAACCCATACTTTGGCGAGCCAAATCCGTGCCGAGAGCACGGCGACGAAACCACGACGACGACGGCGAGCACGACGAAGACGAGCACGACGACGAGCACGACGACGACAGCACGACGACGAGCACGACGACCAGCACTAAGACGAGAGTAGTTACGACGACGAGCACGAGAACACGACGAGAGCTCGACGACGAGCACGAGACCACGACGAGATCACTACGAGAGCACGACGACGAGCACGAGAGAACGACGAGAGCACGACGACGAGCACGACGAGCACGAGAGCACGACGAAAACACGACGAGAGCACGACGACGAGCACGACGAGCACGAGAGCACGACGATAGCACGACGACGAGAGCATCATACGACGAGAGCACGACGACGAGCACGAGAGCACGACGATCGTCGTGCTCTCTAGAGCACGACGATGAGCTCGCCGGGCTCGCCGGGTCCGCCGGGTCCGCCAGGCCCGCTGGTGCCTGCCGGGCTCGCCGGGCCCGCCGGGCCCGCCGGGCTCGCCGGGCTCGCTGGGCCCGCCGGGCTCCCCGGGCCCGCCGGAACCGCTGGGCCCACCGGGCTCGCCGGGCTCGCCGGACTCGCCGAGACGGCCGGGTTCGCCGGGCCCGCCGGCGCCCGAGTGGCCCAAGATGCACCCGAGGCGTTCCAAGATGGCCCCAAGATGGCCCAGGACGGCCCCAAAGGCCCCCAAGAGGTGTTTAATTCAGTCCAAGAAGCTTCCAAGGGGGCCTGCAGGAAGGCCCGCAGAGGCAAAGCCAGCTGATTTCCCGTGGGCTCTTGACGGATTTTGACGTTTTCGGCCTGCCGACGGCCCAATGCCGCCGAAGAGACCCCCAAGATGGCCCCAAGAGTGCCCAAGAGGCCTCCAAGATGGCCCCATGACGGCCTTCAGACGGTCCAAGAGGCCCCCAGTGCGCTTCCAAGACGGCCCACGAAAACTCCAAGGCGCCCACGATGGCCTTCCAGACGGCTCCAAATTGTCCAAGATGGCAACGAAAAGATTCGACATAGCCCCAGGATGGCCCAAGACAGCCCCAGAGGACCCCAAAGGGATCCAAGGGGCCTCCTAGACAGTCTAGGAAGTCTTCAAGAGGACCTCCAGGAGAGCCCGCAATGCCCAAATGGTTGTATTCCCTTCAATCGTTGAATAATTCGGGCGCGTTTTTTTTTTTTTGTTTGTCGGCTGTCCGACGGCCCAAGATGTCCACAAGATGGTCCCAAGACGACCCAAGCTGACTTCAAGATGGCCCCAAAAGGGCCCCAAAGGGCACGGAAACAGTCCCATAGGAAGAGCAAGAGGAAAGGACGGAATCAGAGGCCCGAAGCGGCTCCGAGAAGCCTGCAGCTCAGCGCGGGCTCGTCTGCGGACGCCCTTGCCCCTTGTCAGGAAAAACATATCACCCCGAGGCCGGGTGATTTTTTGCGGGGCCGCCCTCTCAAGGCCCCACGGCCAGCTTTTTGGTCGAGGAGGAGAAGGGGCAGGAGGACGAGGAGGTGATCAAGAGGAGCCAAAGGAGCAGGAGGAGCAGGAGGACGAGGAGGTCGAGCATAGGGACAAGGACGGAATGACAGGCCCGAAGCGGCTCCGAGACCAGACTGCGCTGAGCTGCATGGTTTTCCGAGCCGCTTAAGGCCTTTCATGTCGTCCTCGTCCCCATGCTCAACCTCCTCGTCCTCCTGCTCCTCCTGCTCCTCCTCCTCCTCCTCCTCGTTTTCGTCTCGATCAACGTCCTCGTCCTCCTGCTCCTCTTCTTCCTCGACCCAAGAGCCAGCCGTGGAGCCTTGAAAGGGCGGGCCGAAAAAAGTCACCGGGGGCCTCGGGCTGATTCTTTGCCTTGGGGGGGGGGGGGCAGAAGCGTCCGCAAACGAACCCGCGCTGAGCTGCAGGCTGTCTCGGAGCCGCTGCGGCCAAAAGAAGGACACTTTGTCGGTTTAACTGTTGGGTCGCTTTGTCGGTTGATTTCGGGCGCGTCGTCGCCGTCGTCGTCGTCGTCGTCGTCGTCGTCGGCGTGGTCGTCGTCGTCATGGTCGTCGTCGTCGTCGCCACCATCGTCGTGGTCGTCGTCGTCGTCGTCGTCGTTGTCGTTGTCGTCGTCGTCGTCGTCGTCGTCATCGTCGTGGTCGTTGTCGTTGTCGTCGCCGTCCATAAGATGGCCCCAAGAGGGCCCGAAGAGGGCCCCAAGAGAGCTCCAAGAGGGCCCCAAGAAGGCCCCTGGAGTTATGTACCTACCCAGCGGCCGTTGGTGCATAACTCCTGGGGCCCTCTTGGGGCCCTCTGAGGGCCCTCTTGGGCCCCTGGTTGGCCCATGAGATGGCTCCAAGAGGGCCCTAAGCGGGCCCCAAGAGGGCCCCAAGAGGGCTCCAAGAGGGCCCCAAGAGGGTTCAAAGAGGGCCCCGAGAAGGCCCCGGGAATTATGTACCAAAACAGCGGCCGCTGGTACATAACTCCTGAACCCTCTTGGTGCCCTCTGAGGGCCCTCTCGGAGCCCTCTCGGGCCCCTGGCTGGCCCTGAGAGGGCCCCAAGAAGGCCCCAAGAGGGCACCAAGAGGGCTCCAAGAGGGCCCCAAGAGGGCTCCAAGAGGGCCCCAAGAAGGCCCCAGGAATTATGTACCAACCCAGCGTCCGCTGGTACATAACTCCTGGGGCCCTCCTCCTCTTCCTCGGCGGCGACGACGACGCGGAGGAGGAGGTGTAGACGCACCCTCTTGCCCAGCCCCATGCAGGACCAGACAGCGACACTTGGACCAAATTTCCCAGCCTCTGTTTTGACCCCAGAGCTCTCGACCCCGTCCG